AAATAGGAAAGAAATAGGTAGGAACCTACGTGTCTGAACTCGGTTTCTAAGTATAAAAATAAATATGTACCTACTACTTATGTCGTCATTCAAAACGAAAAAATTCATAAAAATATAGTGATTAAAAATGTTAAAAACTAATTTACAAATAGTTGTTTGCAACAACTTAATTATATGATATAAATTTTTTTTTTAGAAATGTTAATGTTTTCTGAAATAATGAATGTCTTACGCTAAATTGATAGCACCTACACCATAGGTATAATAATTAATATAAGTACACAAACATAACACAACTATAAATAATTGTGAAATATAATAAYAATTTATAATACGCCATTTTATCAGTAAAAAAAATGAAATTTTTTGAAAATGCACAAATACGATAAGGATTTAAAGTTAGAGTAGATAGACGGGTATGTGAGTTGAACCACAAACGTTTTAATTGAATATTATCTATATTGCATTATATTCTGAACCTGGGTTTTTAGACAAGTTTATTAGTAGCAGTATTTTTTTAACAATATTATASAAACTAAAATACTTAATAAGATTAATTGATAATATTTGATGTAATAATTACCTCCAGATGGATGCACTTCATCAAAAAATAATTGACCTAACATTAAACTAGCTACCTACCTACTCTAAAAAAATATGGATCTACATTAGTGCAGTACCTGTATATCGCCATTCGCGATAAAATAATATAAACCATTTAATGTATTTAAATAAATAAATAAATCTAATTTAAGGTATTTAATAAACATTAAACAGTGTCRGCCTGGGCCCCTGGCCATCTTTTGGTTAATTAAGTTAAGTCATTTTAAATGTGTGATAGGTCTCGACTCCATATTAATATAATAAAAATATAAGAGCTAAAGAAATCTAAAAAGTTGTAGTGTCGGGCTGAATTGGATTTATTTAATTGTTTATAAATGACAAACTACATTTGAAAGATTTTATATTATAATTTATTATATAGAATAATATACGTAAATAGATTTATTTTAATATTTCTAGTTAATTAACATATTTTATTTTAATATAAAGCTTATAAATTTACATGGTACAGCCGTACAGKYCGATGGCTTTAAAAAGCCTTTAGCCTAGTAGGACTATTCCCTCTGTTCCATCTGGCCTGTTCACCTCTGCACGCCTACTTTACTTTTTTAAAGAAACACGTCAAATAATGTACAAAATAATGTACATACTTTAGAAAAATAAAATGCTTTACAAATTCAATTGATARCGATGTAAATAATATGTAATATGGGATAATATTATTGGTTATAGCGTTATACTATTAGTAAATTATGTGAATATTGTATAGGTAAAAGTGTATTAATTCGTGGGATATTTAATTATATTGTTGATTATTATTTTAATCTTTTAGAATCGAAAATAAATGTAATTGATTTTTAATATTTTTCAAAGAATATTATAGCCATTAGCCGCTAGCCCATTTCAATAACGTGGAAAATGACACGTTATTCCACAAACATTAATTTGTAAAAGTAATTTCGTTACAATTGCGTTAATTTAAATAAATTATCATTGAATTACTCCGCTACTACACAATTAATATCGTTATTSGTTATAGTTAGAGAGCCTATAGATAATTATTATCCAGGCTCTCTAGTTATAGTTATTCGCGATACGTATGTATTAATGTTGTAATTAAATATTACATGAAGTTAGTTCCCAGCACAGATGAATCAGTGGTGATAGCACACACTGTCGCCTTCGCCGAATGAATTTGTTGAATTATTTTATTCTATTGGGTTTCAAATTTCTAAAATCCCGCCAGCGAGAACGAGTATGTTTACAAGTTTATAGTACTCCTTGGAAATGTACCGCTCTCTACTGCACCACTACGAACGTGTACTATGACCGGCGGACAAGGACGCGGTTGCGGTTCAGCCATT